ATCAGAATATCCTCCACGCAACAAAACATATGAAGGACAAAGAATTTTACTATGTGAGATGTGTGGCCTCCGCGGAACGGGATTCCTGTCCATCCGGACACACCCCGGAAGCACTGGAGATTCTTCTTCATGGGGCACGCGTCGAGCAACTTCACTTCTATTCGGACGCCAGTCCATTGGATGTTGACGGACTCAAATTGTTTTATCTCTATTTGTATGGGCCAGCACAAGAAGACAATGCGGTAATTCTCATCGAAAAGCTAAAACCTAAAGCTGTCGATATCGAAAACTCTGGAGGATACACGATGACTCCGAGGTTGTGTCAGGCTCTCTCCAAGACTCGATGTCTCTATCTTGGCGATGTTGGAATGGAACTGCTCGATTTCATACTCCAATGGAAAGGCGAGGTTTTGGACTGTACCATGGATATATCCAATCGCGAGAAATCGTCTCGCTTCTTTGATGTCATCAGACAACTTCTGGATGAACGGAAGAATGGAGTTCCAGCCCCTTTTCTCCTATTTATCCGCTTCAAACCCCGGTTGCTTGCTGATCAGCTTCATCGAAATGTTCTTGGACCGGATTACCCATTGATGTTCGATCGTCTCGATAAAAGCTATTGTAGCCTACACAATCCTTTTGGCTCTATCCGAATCCGTGCCTCCGCTGTGTTCTGCCAGCTTTCCTAATTTATTTCGGGTTTTGCTCCCAATTTCTGGTGTTCTTTTGAGTGCTTCAATATTCTAAGCACCGTTTCATATCTCATGCTCTCTAATGCGTTTTCCCTTGTTTTGTTCAAATGGCTTGCGATTAAATTTCGAATTTCAGGTAGTTGACGCAAAAATGGCAGCCAGAACCGCGGAAATGGGACAAATGAAACGTCAAAATAACAGGATGCGCTAAAAGGCCCCGTTTTTTCAGTTTCTTGTTACAGTTTTTTTTAGAAAATTCACGATGGACGGCGACGGCGGTGACCGCCCGGAAGAGAATGCTCTGCTGTTGTTGGATGGCGGTTCGTGATCGGACCAATTACTTCTCCGTCTTTCTTTTTCAGATTCCCCGCTTCGACGTGGAACCGACAAGAAGAATACGCCGATGATGTAGCGGAGACGATATCAATAAAAACTTCTACTTCTTTTTAATTTTCCTATGGATCTTTTCAGCTCAAAATTTTGGATAGTAGGACATCGGCTAGGTAGGGGGACTATCGGCGTATACCCGTTGCCGTGCCGAAACTTGCAACCCCCCGCCCACCCCTGCCCGGCCAACTTTGAGAGAAATTTGCAAATTCGGAAAAAAAAGACGGAAATTTATTGGACTTTGATAGTTTTTCATTTAGATGGCCAGATATCTGCTTTCTCGCTAACAGCAACTTTTATCGCTCCTTTGCTTTCTTTCTTATTTTTGCTTTCCATTTCTTACTGCTTTTCGCAAAATGCGTCAAATCAATATTCATTTTTCAGGTAAACAGACAACTCGACGTTTCGATGGATAAGGCCGAATTCGAGAAGGAGCTGCTCGCTCTACAGGATGATGGTATGAAGGACATTGGCATCGTCGAGGAGGGCAACAAGAAAGGAGATGACGATGAAGAGGATGGAGAGGAAGAAGTCTACAAACCAACGCGCAACATCTACGAGCTGCCGGTCGTCCTTTTGTGGGAAATCATGGAACCTCTGGACGGATATGACCTCCTTTTGATTGCTCGTACTCATCAGAATATCCTCCACGCCACAAAACATCTGAAAGAAAAACATTTTCCTCGGGTGATATGTGTGGCCTCCGCTAAACGAGATTCTGATTCATACGCGCAAGACCCGGAAGCACTGGAGATTCTTCTCCACGAGGCACACGTCGCTCAACTCCACTTCTATACGGATGCCCGTCCATTCGACGTTCAGGGAATCGAATTGTTTACTCTCTATTTGTCTGGCCCAAAACAAGACGACAAGGCTGCGATTGTCATCGAAAAGCTCAAACCCAAAGCGGTCAATATACAGAACTATGGAAGCGGCACGATGACACCGACGTTGTGCCAGGCTCTCTCCACCATTCCGCATCTTCATCTCGGCGATGTTGGAATGGAGCTTCTCGATTTCGTACTCCAATGGAAAGGCAAGTATCTGGCCTGTACCTTAGAGATATCCAATCGCGAGAAGTCGTCTCATTTCTTTGATATCATCAGACAATTTCTCGATCAACGGAAGAATGGAGTGCCAGCCCCGCTTACCCTATTCATCCGCTTCAAACATCAGTTGTTCCCTGATCAACTTCATCGAAATCTCCTTGGACCGGATTACCCATTCGACTTCGATGGCCTCGATAGCTACTATTGTAGACTGAACCATCCATCATCCTTCGTTATCGAAATCCTTCCCTACCTTATCTATTGTCGCATTGCCTGATTTATGTCGTGTTTTTGCCCCCCAACTTCGACATTCTTTTGATCGCTTCGCTATTTTAAGCACCGTTTCATTTCTCGCGCTCTCTCTCAATAGCCGTTGGATCTTAGTTTAATCAAGTTTTCTGGATAAAATTTCGAATTTCAGGCTCTGCGCGCGAAACGGCAGCCCGAGGTGCCGAAATGAAACAATGGCACGGCAAAAGAATAGGATGCGCTAAATGGTCATGTTTTTTCAGCTTTTTTACATTTCTTTAGGAAAATCGTGCAGGACGACGGGGATCTGCCGACGATGGGCGCTCAGCTGGTGTTGGATAGCGGTTCGTGATCGGACCTTGTACTTCTCAGTCTTTCTTTTTTTAAATTTCCACCCTTCGATGGAGAATCGGCAAGAACGGGGGAGAAGCGAGGCGGATTCTCGGATCAAGTGGCAACTCGAGGCGCCGAACTGTCTAAATGGGGCAGACGGTAAACAGACAGATCCGCTAAAAGGTCATGTTTATTTTTAAAGTTGCTTGTTATTCTTTTTTTAGGAAAAAGGAAAGGAAGGAAGGAAAGGCGGACGGCGACGGCAATTTTCTGGAACGGACGCTCTGCTGTTGTTGCATAGCGGTTAGTGATCGGACCGTCTACTTCTCCGCCTTTCTTTTTTAGATTCCCCCTTCGATGGAGAATCGGCAAGTCGAGGGCCAATCCGAGGCGCTTTCCATGAAAAGTCAAGCCGTCGAAACGGAATGGTCGTGGAAGGTTGCATTTTAGCCTTTTTTTGCCTAATAACGCCGTAACTACGAGGCCGTCTTTTTTGAAGCCGGGTTTAGGATTTTTTCTGTTCACAGTCTTGGCCATCCGGTTCGCCATGAAAAATTGCAATAGTTTGACGGGTTTCTAACGAAAAATTGTATTTTTAGGGTTTTAAAGTGCTGGAAAACGGTTGCAATCGATGTAATCATTCCGGAATTATCTTTATCTTCCAGTGGCAAGCTAGCCGAGTCGCTTTCAGAAATTTTTTCTATACCTGACTAGCTAGCGGAGTTTCTTTAGGAATTTCCGGCACTCTCGCGAAACTAGCCGTGGTTCTTGAGGATTTGCTCTTCCTCTCGTGAGCGGTGATTCTAGAAATCCGTTTTCCTCGCAAACTAGCCGAGTTTCTTTCGGAAATCGGCAAGCTAGCCGTGGTTTTTTAGGAATTTATTTTTCTGGCCTACTAGCCGAGGGTCTTTAGAAATCCGTTGCCTGGCAAGCTAGCCAAAATTCTTGAGGAGTTTAGTCTGTTTTTTGGCAAACTAGCCGAGATTTTTTGGGAATTGTTGCCTTGTTGGCGAGCTAGCTGAGATTCTTGAGAAATTCGTGATTCCCTAGTAGGCTGGTCAAGATTCTTTAGGAATTTAATTTTCTGGGCAGCTAGCGAAGATTCTTGAGGAATTTATCTGATTTTCGCATCCTAGCCGAGATTCTTTGGGATTTCTGCGAACTTGGCGAGCTAGCGGAGGTTTTTTAGGAAATGGCCCTTCACTCGCGAGCTATTTCCTTTAAAAATAGTCTTTATCTGGCCTACTAGCCGAGATTCTTTGGAAATCCGTTTCCGGGCAAGCCAGCAAAGGTTCTTGAGGAATTGAGTATGTTTTTGGGAATTTTGGCCTTGCTGGCAAGCTAGCCGAGATTCTTTAGGAATTGATGCGCTTTGGCCGGAGTCCTTTAAAATTTTCCCGACCGAGGCAACCTAGCAGAGATTCCAGAGAAATCTGATTTTGGCATACTAGCCGAGGTTCTTTGGGAATTTCTGCCAATCTGGCAAGCTAGCCGAGATTCTTTAGGAAATGACCCTCTACCCCGTGTATTTGTGGTGAGTAAGGGAATGGTGTGTGAGAGTGAGTGTCCCCCTCTCCTTGGTTGTAACACTTACGATTTGCTGTTGCTCACTAGCGCCTTGGAGCATCGGCCTCTCTCTCTCACTCTCGCTCTTCTCCACTCTCTCTCGCCATGACCCAACCGGGGGTGCCCATTTTTCCGGTTGCCCACTAGCAACATGTACTTTTCCGGTTCTGCAAATGCTTTCTGCTTGTTTGCCCATTTTCTCGCTTTTTTAGCTTAACTGGCTACAGCCAATATTTTCCAATGATTTCCTCGAATTCCCCTGCTAGCCTGCCCCGTTTTTGCGCGGAACCCTGAACCGAAAGTGCTATTTTCGAGCCCTTTTCAGAGCTAAAAGCCGTAAAGTCTTTTCTTTTTTTCTTTGGCTTTTTCAACTAAACTGACGCCCCGACTATCTCCTGCGATCTATTTCTTCCAAGAATCCCTGCGAGCCTACCCCGTTTTTGAGCTGAATTCGGAACCGGAAGTAGCCTTTTCGTGCATTTTCAGAGCTAAGACCGTTAACAAAAAGGTGTCTTAAGGTCAAGGTCAAATTTTCCAATTTTTATAGCTTTTTTTAGCTAAACTGACGCCCGGACTATCTCCTACGACCTATTTCTCCCAAGAATCCCTGCTAGCCTGCCCGCTGACCCTGAATTTTGCAGTTTTCGCGGACATCCTCTTTTCTAGCCGATTATGACGTTATTTCAGCGATTTTAAAGGGATCGAGGAATGTGAGTGCCTCGAAATGTCGTCCTCGTCCTCCTCTTCCCTCTATCGATATCGGAGCACGAGCTCCATTCGTGGATCCACGGCGAATTATGCGCCTAGGAGTACGGGGAGTACGACTAATACGACTACGGTAAGTCATTTTAATGGATTTTGCAACGAAAAACGCGGCGAAAAACTTAAAAATGTCCATTTTAACCTTTTTCTAAAGAGATTACGTAATGCAAAATCTTGGAAACGGAATTTTTACGCGTTTCTAACAGAAAAACGCCTTCAAAAGTTCCAAAAATAAAGTTGAAAGTTTTCTAAGCGACTAACTTTCTGAAAAAGCTTTGAAAATCACAGTTTCTAGGTTCTCTTAGACAATTACGCCGTGGAAAGCATTGAAAATCGAAAATTTTAGATTTTTGGAACATTTTTGGTCTTGAAAAATCTGGAAAGGGCATTTTTTGCGTTTTTGCCACCATTTGCGCCCCGAAAAGGCCTGATAATGGCGTTTTTTTTGATTTTTTTTGTACCAAATGCGTTTAACAAAACTTAGAAATGACAATTTTCGAGGTTTTTGCAGGAGTTTACCCGGAAAAAATGGTTCGAAATTGCGAATTTCAGGGCCGCTAAAAAGTATCTAAAAAAATAGCTGGCATTAATTTATTTTTTTTTTTTGCAGTCAATCGGCTCCTCCTCATCGGCTGCTTCACGTGCTGGTGGCCGTGTCTCAGTTCGTGCGTACAGCGTCGAGCCCTCGTCCCGGGATACTGTATCCACATATTCCACGCGATCCGCTATACCGTGAGACGATTTTGTAGCTTGCCATCGATGACGCTAGCAAATAGAGCCCTTCGATCGATTACGACATGAAAATAGCCAATTTTCGTGGGATTTACGATATGAAAAAGCATTTTCTAATCTTTTAGACCATGAAATCGGTCTTGGGAATCGATTACGGGATAAAAATATATTTTTGAATAGATTACGCTATGAAAACGGGTTTTTTTCAGTAGATTATGCAATGAAATCAGCATTGTAAATCGATTACACTATGAAAATCTACTTTTGCGAACAGATTACGCGATGAAAAAGCTTCTATGAAATCGATTAGGCCAGGAAAATGGACCTCTTTCACAGCGGCCCGGCTCCTAATAAAACGTCCGGTAGCTTTGGAAAGGAGGGAAGACCGCAACGCGTGCGATAGACGCGTCGCGCAATTGCGAAAGCAGGCCTGCGCAGCTAAAAACCGGTTGCTATTCCGCGCACCCGCACGCAACTCGCGAAAAACACGCACAGTACGCCCTTTCCCTTGAACCATCTGGACCGAACCCATGGGCGGTTGTGCTTTGGTTACGCTAGGAAAATGGACGTTTTCAAATAGATTACGCGACGAAAATGCGTCTCAAAAATAGATTAGGCCGTGAAAATCAAATTTAGAATCGATTACGCCATCAAATATAGATCATCTACCTCGTCAGCCCTGTCCCGTTCCTACAACGCTTCTGCCTCGAATGTCAGTCCATATTCCAGGACTGCCGATCGGTAAGTCGTTTTTTCGGGATCAACCGATTACGCTATCAAATCTTTGGCGCCAACCTGGCTTCACAGTCTCTTTAAAATAACCGGATTCGCTTAGCTGGCAGCCAACCCGCATTTTCTAGAAATTTCTAGCCTAAAGCCCCTACGTTGAACCGATTACGCTTTGAAATTCCACCAAAATCGATGACGGCATGTAATTCCCGATGTCGCGATCCCTTTAAAATCCCGAATTTTTGCCTGTTCAGGTATTCGAGCAACGATTCCCTGTCGAGCTACCGTTCCCCATCCACCACTACAAACTACAAGCCGACGGGACTGGCGACGACGGGAAGGAGTTCAAGCCTCACCGGCTCTAGTAAGAAAGACGCTAGACTCCAAACTCCAAATTCCCACTTTCCTAGAGCGATTTTTTGCGCTGATTCCAAATCTGGGATTTAATTTGGCTTCAGAGCCACAATTTTTGAGATTTTGACGTCTAACCGAAAAATTCAAAAAAAATTTCAATGTTTCAATATTTTTATGGGAATAATTGAATTAAATAACGAAACAAAAAAGCAAGCGTCAAAATGACGAACACATTCGAAATCAGCGCTAAAATTGCTCCTAGAAATAAGATTTTTGGAAAAAATAAATTAATAGATTTTGTAATGTTCAAAAGAAAAAAATATAAAACAAAAAATTTTATAAACTAGATAGATTTGCAAATATGTAAAGTCTAACTGTATTCCAGGCTATTCGTTGACATCACTGAGAGACCGAGCCGCGTCTCCTTCCCGGGAATTCGATCGATATAAACCACCGTGAGTACCCGGAGCGTATCGATCGATTATCGATTGTTTCATAACTTCCCAAATCGCAGCAAACAAGCATGGATTCTTGGCGGAAATTGTAAAATGGCAGGCAAAAAGCGGAATTTCGCCCTCAAGTTATTTCCCTTATCGAGGGCAGGCTAGCAGAGGGCATTTGCCGGATTCGGCTGTAAAACCTCCATTTTCATTTTTTTCTTTAGAGACCGCGAGAGTTCGATCCCGAGCAGCAGATGGTCGATACGGTAAGCGGCACAGCTTTAAATAGAATTTTAAAACTACTACAGGTTTTGGAAATTTTTTGGTTAATTTCCACTTGTCACCACCTCTTTAAACCTTCAGGGATCGAGCTTCAAGCCCTCTACGCGATGGTTTGATGTCCAGATCGACAAAGTGGGTGACAGTTTGGAGTTTGGAGCTTGTAGCCGGCCTTTTGCCATTAAAGGGAGAGCGACAGGTGGAATATTGCTTTTTAACCAGCTGTCACACTCCCTTTAAAAACAACAAAAATCGATACTCGTCATGCAACACTTTCAGCGATCGAGCCGCCTCGCCGAAACGCGAATATTCACGAGCCCGCTCCAATACTGTGTACGTTTTTTGCGACCTAAATTTCGGGAAAATGGCGTAATCGATTACGGCATGGAAATGACACGGTCTAGTACCTTTAAAATGGGTTGAATAATTTAACTGTTACCCAGTTCGTCATTTCCCGCCATTTCTGGCTTTAAAAACCAACGTTTATGCAGTTACGCTATGTCATTTCCAGTCGATTACGCCATTGAATTCACATGGCGAATCCCGGCGTGGTAGTTCCTTTAAAATCAGCAGATGTGGCATACTGTCATCCAGTTTCCAATTTACAACCATCTATCCCTATTAAACTTTAGGTTTAATCGATTACGCTATGTAATTCCCGAATCGATTACGACGTTAAATGGTCCCTTTTTCAGCGAGCGCAACCTGGGCACCACAGCTGATAAATCGCTCGACAAATACAAAATTGACAACCATTTTTCCAGGTAAAACGGCAAAAAGTTTCTTACTTAATTTAATTCTCAAAAAAAGTACAAAAAATTCACTCGCTAATTTTAGTAACTACGCGCCCACAAAATCGAGCTCGCTCAGCGGCGGCTATTCCGGTTTGTGTTGATTTAATTTTCAGCCAACTTTAAATTTTCCACAATCACGATATTTTAAACGTTAAAATTTATCTTTTTATTTTTTCAACTTGCAGATTTTACATATTTAATTTTTTATCTAAATTAGTCGACCTCGTTCGTTATTAAAAAACATAATCGTTTGGCTTTAGGCTACAGTAGTCGGACAGATCGCGCAGATTATCAGACAGCCAAACGGGATACGGTAAGCCCAAAATGTAAAAAAATGTCTTAAATTGAGGAAAAGGCGAAAAGGGACGATATCGAGGAGCGATTCGAGCTGCTCTACAATAAATACGTCAAAGATGGTAAGGGCACGTTTTTGTAGTCTGTATTTTCGGTCTACAGCCTTTCTTTGGCTTTCTAATACCTTTCAGCGCGTTTTTAAAGGGATGGCGACACCTGAAAATTCATAATTTTAGCCCCGCCCCCATCAACCGATAAACTGGCGGCCACGGCGAGGGAAGAGGTGAGTAATTTTTAAAAAAAGTTAAAACGGTTACGCCACGAAAATCGGCATTTTGGATTGATTACACCATGAAAATTCGAATTTTCGGAATCATTTACGCTAGAAAAAGGACTGGATCTCAATAGATTACACCACCTAATTTCAGCGAACCGTCGATAGAAGCGCCTCGGCCACACCCACCCAAGAAATGATGGATAAAAAAGGGGCGGAAGACGAGAGAATACAGACTACGCAGAGGAGAGTGGGCACCACCAGGACTCGAGTGATTCTGAAGACCGAAAAAGGGGGTGGAGGGGATACGGTAGCGGGGACGATCGATAGAATCGATGGCAGAAAAGAGGAAGCAAACACTACGAATACTCCTAATGACGGCAAACCCTCAGAAAATTCAATTTCTCATCAAAAACCGGCAAAAATCGATGAAAAACTCGCAGAAATTGCCTCTAAAATGCCAACTGGGAGCCAGCAAAGCGTCCCAGCTACCGTAACGAATAAACTGACAACCAGCGAAGAAAATGGAAACGGTACATCCCAGAAAAATTCGCTTTCCGTCGAAAACACCCAGAAAATCGCTGAAAAACCGGATAAAACGATCTCTAAGATGGAAAATGGCATCCAGAAAAGCGCCCCGCCTACCGTAACCCCCAAACCGACAGCCGGGCAATCGATGACGCGTGAAAAATCGGCAGAAAAATCAATTTCCGAAGATTTGCCCGGGATTCTGACCGAAATTGCCATCAGAAAGAAGGGGAAAGGGGCGGCTGGGCTACAAAGTACACCTAACGACGGAGGAATTCGACTACAAACTACACTTTCTGCCGATAATAAGGTAGTGTGATCGCGTACGATGTGAAATTTGTGATTTCTAGGAGACGACCGTCTCGACAATCGATGACACCAGGTAATTCGAAATCGGGGCAGGCTAGCAATGTTTCTTGGGGAAACTGAGGGAATGGGGTACGGTAGCGGGTCGATTTTCGACTTTTCAGCCGTCCTTCCATCGTCATTTCTTCACATCAAGAACCCCATCCAGGTCAGCTTTTCATCGCGTAGTCGGTTCCTCTAACCCCGATTTTCATGGTGTAATCGGTTCACGCGTCAGTAGTTTCCGTGCGTACTTATCAAAAAAATTGATTTCTATGCCGTAGGCGGTAATGAAAATGCTAGTTCCATGATATCAGCGGTTTTTCGAGGCGCGATTTTCCTTGCGTAATCGGTTTCCTAAACCCCGATTTTCATGTCGTAACCGGTTTGGAAATTGCCATTTCGAGATGGCAATCGATCGGCTTTGTTATTTCTGGAACGCATTTGAAAAAAGGCAAGGAAAAGCCGATTTTCATGCCGTAATCGGTTTGGAGATCGATTTTTTTTGAGCGCGTAATCGATTGGGCTGTTGTTTGTGTGGCGTAGTCGACAAAAAAAAGCAGTTTTCTTCGATTTTACAGCGCCGCGAATTTCATACCGTAATATATTGTTCACAAAACCCTATTTTCACGTCGTAATCAGCTAAAAACACATGGTGTAATCGATTAGAATGCCTATTAATACAGCGGAATCGATTAGAAAAACTCCGTTTTGGTCGATTTTCAGCGTTATAAATTTTTTATCGTAATCGATTTAAAAGACGTAATCGATTCGCCTTGTTATTTCTATCGCGTAATCGATTAAGATCCCCTATCTCCCCCGATGTTAAGCGTCTATTTTTCGGGTCGGGGCTTTTCCAGGGCTAGTCGATTCATGGCCCCCGGCACACATTACACAACCAACCAGGGAGACCAGGGGGGCATCAGAAAAAACGACCGGGCAGGCTAGCCGGCTGGAATGGCACCCAGATTGCCCATCCACACCCGAGGCTTTCTCGAATTTTGCGAGTTTCATGTCGTAATCGATTTCTTAAAAATAGCAGATTGGTCTCTATGGAAAATTCGGCGTTTTTCATGACGTAACGGGTTTCGTGATACCGTAGTCTTACCGAAAATAGGTTAGCTGGCTGGAATGGCACCCAGATAACCGATTTTCACTTGCTATTCAGGAGAATTTCAGGATTTTCATGTCGTAATCGATTTCTTAAAAATAGCAGATTGGTCTCTATGGAAAATTCGGCGTTTTTCATGACGTAACGGGTTTCGTGATACCGTAGTCTTACCGAAAATAGGTTAGCTGGCTGGAATGGCACCCAGATAACCGATTTTCACTTGCTATTCAGGAGAATTTCAGGATTTTCATGTCGTAATCGATTGTCTTATATACTGTAGCAAAAATCTTTTTATTTTTCAGATTCTACAAAAAGCACGGTTGCCGCCAATAAAGGCTCCATCCCGATCAGTAAGTTTTTTAATTTTAGACTGAATTTAACAAATTTTAAAATTTTAAAAATTGAATTAAATCGAAAAAGTCGAAATTTCACTAATCGATTACGCCACAAAATCTCGAATTTTTACTTCAACGGGCCTTTAAAGGATTGCAATCGATGTCCTGGCAGACAGTTCAGCCTGCAAGCCGATCATCGATCATTTCCTCACTCCCCTGGGCTTCTCGTATAGCCCGCGGGGCCCAAAAAACACGGACCTCCTGGCTGGCTAGACCCCCCTCCTTCGAAATATCGATCGCTCGTTGAGGGCCCAATAAATCGGGGTGAAATGCCGAGGGTCTCTCGATTCGACCAGCTGTCTGCTATTTCGCATGCCAATCCCATTTTCCGGGTTTTTTAAAGGGCCATTGAAGTCTGGTCGGGCTTGTGGATTTTGGGATTTTGGGATTTTTCTAGAAAATCTATTTAATTTTTGCTTGATTTATATTCCTTAAATTTAGTAAAATATAAGATGCGTTATAAGGCCAAGGAAGGCCCGATTTTCGTTTTTAGCTTTTTAAAGGGCCATTGAAGTCTGGAGGGTGGCTATGGATTTTCGGTTTTTTAATTTTTTTTAAACTCATTTAATTTTCATATGATTTTTTAGTAAACCGGCTGAGATTTAAATATGTTATAACTTTAATTGGAATCAAGAACCAATATTTTTACAACGTAAAAAATTAAAATTTAAAGCAGACTTTTCGATTTCGAAAACGGCATTTTTAAGACGATTTTTAATTTTTTTATTTTTTAAGAGAAGTAATAAAACCAGATTTTTAGAATGTTGAAATATTCCTTTTTTAGGAAAAAGACAGGGCCGAACGCTGGAGGATCTGAAAGATTCACTTTTGAACGAGAAGAAAATGGATCCAATGGAGGTGAGCGACATAGCAGAGAATATTCGGGACATTGGGGCAGGCTAGCAGAGAATCTTTGACGGATAAGAGTCCAGAAATTCGAAGGTGGCAAATTAGCAGAGATCATTCGGGGAATGGCGGGAAAAGCAGAGACTCTTAAGGAACCTTGAGAGTGAGAATCATGAGAATTTGTGGAATCAATAGGCCAGCTAGCAGAGTTCATTTCGGAAATCGGGAGGCAATCTAGCAGCGAATCTTTGCGGAAACGAGGGTAAGCGAACAGAGATACTTTAGGAAATCGAGCCAGCCTAGCAGAGGACAAAAATCGAAAATTCGAAGCTGGCAACTGAGCAGAAATTCTTTAGGAAATGGGCAAGCTAGCGTGTAGAATTTGTGGAATGTGGAGGCAGGCTAGCAGAGAATCTTTGCGGAAGAATGGGCAGGCTGCCCGGGGGACATTTAGGACCATAAACTGGCAGAAACCCCTTTAAAGTTTTCGCTTTTCAGACGGAACCCTCAACTTCTTCCTATTTTCATGAATGTGTCATTTTGGTGGGTTAGAGTTATGGTAGCTGATATTACGGTGTTCCAGAATGACGATAATTCGGGCGAAGACCTCTGCACGGCGGCCACTATTTCGATGAATGACTCCAACCGGGTACGGTGTTAACATTTCCCTTGAGCTATGATGAATTTTAATGGGTAAAAAAGTTGTTTTTATCATTTTAGGGGGATGGTGACACCCAAAAAGTAAAAAAAAAATGCACTTTTCTTGCCGTAATTCTATTAAATGGCTGCCAGTTTAGCCGTCAGACTCGAATGATACGGTCCATTTGGACGCTGACCCCAATCAGCAGCGCTGCCGAATTATTCTATGGGTAAAAATGCGATATTTATCATTTTTGCGTTTCTTTTGTTTTGTTTGTAGTTTTTGTTGCTTTTTTTGCTTTTCTGGACTTCACTTAATATTATAATTTCATCACTAAATTCAGCTTTCTATTAATTTTAAAATCACGGCTTGAATTATCGATTTTTCGCGATTCTGGTACGATCGTTTTTGCCGTCAGTGGTCCTTTAAAAAAACGCTAAATTGTCTGATTTTACCACTAATCGTTTGGCTAAATGCCAGTAAAGAGTTTGAAGTAAAAAAAAACCCTAATTTTCAGCCTCAGCCTGGTGCGAGTTCCGGAATTTGCCCGCCAATGGTCATGGTAACACAGGTCAATATAGTTTTTTTAATTTTTTTGAAACAATTAGCTATTTTTTTTCATCAGCTCCTTTGATTAAACTGGATCTTAATATACCTACAAAAATTAAATATAAAAATCTGGGCTACAAGCTACAGTTTACAAACGAAAACCTTGAAATCTATGGATTGAGCCTCGCTTTAATGGCCTTTTAAACATCACAAATTTAATTTTAACATTTTAAACGCCGGAATGCGTGCCATTTTAGCGAATAAGAGAGTTGAAAAAAGAAGCTAAAATAAAATTACCTGATTTTAGCCCTCCCAACCGAACACCCCGATCGGCGAGGGACAATTCTTTGGGTCGGAAGAGGAAGAAGCCTCCGAATCCGAGGAGGGAAGCGATGATGTCGAGTCGTTCACGGATGACTCGGATGGTATGCAAATTACCGCAAATAAAACACATTTCAAGTTCGACAAAAACGATGAAAAACGCCTGAAAATCTCGAAAACTCGACAAAAAAAACAGTTTTTCCATTTTTGGCGTGTCTTTTTTAGCTTTTTACTCGTTCTACGGTTTAACTGGGACCCAGAAAAGCCAAATCCACAACTTTCATGCAAAAAGCAAAATGTTTACCCCGGGCGGGAATCGAACCCGCACCCCCAGATTCGGGGGCAAACGCGCTAACCACTACACCATGGCGAATTTTCCAAAAATGGATCAATTTTGCAGTGTACGAGTCGGATTTCGAGTACAGCGTCTCGGAGAGCATCCCCTTTTTGCCGTCGATGGCAAAGACAGGTAAGGCTAATCGATTACGACATGGAAATCGAACCAACACTCGGAAAATCTATTTTTTTTTTAGAAAGCGGTCCAGAAGGCGTTGGGGTAGTTGTCGAGAAAGAGTTGCCCTTTCTGGAGCACAAGTAAGAAAAAAATAACAATAAATTGAGCTGGAATATACATTTAAGTGGATTTTCACTTTAGTTTGAAAGTTTGTAAAAATAAATTTTTTTTATGCTAATTTAATTTTTTCACTTTTTAGTCACGAAGATTTGCGAGGGCGTGTCGAGTCGCTGCTGGCCCACCCTCCTCCGTTGCCTGTATTCACCTGTTCGGTGACGTATGACGGACAAATGTCGGCGGCGAGCGGGGTACGGTACCCGATTTCTATATTTTTCTATTTTTGGGCAAGAATCGTGCCAAATTTTTCCTAGTTTTAATTTTTTTGCTCTTTCTGCCACCCAACGCATCTATTCGAAAATTAAAATCTACCAAAACTACCGTAATTCCCGAGGACCCATTAACATATCGTAATCGTATCACTTTCAACAGGTCAATCCATCGATTCACGCCAAATTCGATAATTTTTGGTTAATGAAAATCATAACTGGACTCCAGCTTACAGATTCCACGACTTTCCGCTGGGCTACAAACTAAAAATCGAGAGATATGAGCCAAAAACATGTTTTTCAGGACTCGTGGGGCAGCGCCGACGAGGGAGATGAAGAGGAGGAGGAGCAAGAGGAGGAAATGGGTATGCTTTCTCAGCCAATCCAAATGACCTCTGCTAGCTCGCCCATGTTTCCTAAAAATTTTCTGCAGGTTTGCTAATACACAAAAATGTCAATTTTTTTCGAAAAGCGCAAATTTTTTCGGAAATGGCCTCCGCTAGTCTATGTACGTCGAATTTCCAAACATATTTCTGCCAATCAGTTTACATTTCCCCAAAGCGTCTTTGTCAGTTGGCATTCGCTTCCTAAAAAATCTCTGCAAGCTCATCGAAATTCGGAAAGTGCCGATTTGTTCGAAAAACGCTAAATTTTCCGCAAATGATCTCCACTAGCCTGCTTATGCTTTCAAAAATGTTCTCTGCCGAGCAGTTTACATTTCCCAAAGCGTCTCTGCTAGCCAGCCCACCCTTTTCCAGAATTGGACCGTCAAACAGATGACGGAAGCTATAAGGGACAGACAGTTGGAGCAACACTGACACTTCTACAAAAAGCCGCAATGAAAGAAGATGGGGAAGAGGAGGATGAGGAGGATGAGGATGAGGAGGACGAGGAAGACGAATTTTATGAATCCGATCAGGTATTTTGAGCTGGAAATCGGCTTTTCTGTCAGCCAGTTGGCCTAAAAACGGGTAATTATCGATGGTTCCAGTACTCGGAGGAGTCGTACTCAGAGGATGAGGAATGGAGCGACAGTTTCGTTTCGGACGAGGAATCCGCTGCCGAGGTATTGCGGATTTTATTCTTTGTCTGGCAGTTTGCCAATTTATCTGGCTTTAAGTTCGCATTAAAGGGAATGGCAAGGCAGGCAAGGCCTAGAATCAATCGCCATGCCTTGCCGGCTCCTTTAAAATTTTGTTCCAGATGGACAGCGCTTCCCTGTCGTTCGAATCTGTTTCCGATGAAAAGGTAAGCAATTTTCTATGGATTTCCCGCGATACGCGACGCGCACGCCGCGGCTGGATGCAGTAAAGTAGCGTAATCGATTCCGCAATGTAACGCCGTGCGGACGCGTTGCGTAACGCGTGTCGCGGCGGGGGAACCGCTTGTTACGTAGCGGTACGCGACGCGACCTCCACGCGCGTAGCGTATTCCATTCTGCTGCGCTTCCGACAGGCAACGCGCACGCTTTGCCTGGCCGCAATAAAATGGCGAAACCGGTTACGCAATGTAACGCGCGGCGTGCGCGTTGCGTATCGCAGCGTGGTGTTTTACGCCTTCTATGCTCCTTTAAATACCTTTTTTCAGTCAGAAGCGGTGGATTCAGACGCGATTTCTGCCTCTCCTCTCTCGGTCTCTCCCTCCAGGGATACGGTACCTCCGGGACACCTTTTAGAAAAATCAAAAATTCCAGAATTTGGCCCAAATTGAGAGTCGCCTGGCCACGTCGATGGTCGCTGAAATTCAGGATCAGGTAAAAAATTGGATTGTAATTTTTAATTTAGAAAATAGGAATTTAATCAAAAATTATATTTTAGATTTTTCAAATTGAAAAATTAAAATTTTAAAATTTTTCCTGATGGTTTTTATCTATCGGATTCCTTAATTTAAATCTTTAAATTTAAGTTACGTCTAAATTTAGAATTCCTGAGCCAAAAACCCCTAAAAAGTTGAGCAGAAAAAATTTTCGAGAAATATGAATTTCGCCATTTTTGTAAAAATTTGTAATTCTTTATTTTGCATCATTTTCACGAAAATCCTTTAGAATCAACTAATCTGCCCTACAGTACGCTTTAGAAAAATGCAAACGATAAAACTTAACTTAACGAAAATTTGTTAGGAAGAAACGGAAGAAGGCGTTCTGGAAGAGTTGCCCTCCGAGTCAATCCTATCTACAGTACCCCGAGAGATCCCAAATGTTGAGGAAAAGGTACGGTGGATGTCAGTTTACGCAATTGACTGAAATACAGTACGAAATTAACCTAGAAAAAATTTAAGAAATTAAAAAACTAAATTTTTAGGGTGGCCCGGTAATTCTGATGGAGCCGACATTTGTGAAGCCACAGGAGGGAAAGGATAAGGTGGGAGAGGGCTAAGAATAAAAATATATAGAAAATATAAATATCCATAAAATATTAAAAACAATTCGAAATAAAAAGCAAAAATGAAAATATACAAAATTTTCAAATTTTTGCAATTTCTCGAACTTTTCTATTCGATTACGCCATCAAATGAATAAAGCTCGAGAACGCTGAGAAATAAAGGAATATAAATTATTAAACTAAAAAATTCAATATTTAATTTAAATAGAAATAAAAACTTTGAAGTTGGAACATTTTTGGTTTTTCGCGATTTTGGCTATTCGATTACGCCATAACATTCCCCTGGCTTCAATGGGCCGTTGGAAGAGCCTAATGACTAAACTGCCAGCCAGACAAGCCAACAACGAGCAGAGAACATTTAGGAACCAACAACCTCTCGATATTTCAAATTTTTTACGATTTTTTTTTTGCGATTCGATACGACATAAAATACCCTTGGCTTCAACGTGCCTTTAAAAGAGCCCAATCGCTAAACTGGAGCGCAGACAACCTGATAACGAGCAGAGAACATTTAGGAAACGACAGCGTCTCGATATTTCCCCTCAAAACAGCCGACAACGGATCATGCCCGAAAGGCCGTCATCCAGCCCACAAAACTCGAAAAAGCCCAAGTTGCCTCGGCCATCCAGACCAATATTGGAGCGTGAGTTTTTCTAAGATAAATATCATTTAAATTTTACCGTAATCCCCGAAAAATTCTGAACTGCTTAGGTTCCGATTACGCCATGAACTTTGTAGACCCTTCATTTGCCAAGCTGTAGTTTGTAGGCCAGTTTAATCGTTGGCTTTAAAAATTTGGTTAAACTAGACTTGCCTGGTCCTTTAATGCCGGCTGAAGGTATTCGATTACGACATGAAAATTGAAGTTTCCCGCTTGAAAAATTGTAGTTTGTAGTCACCGTTTCTGGTTCAAAACTTATTTGGTTTGTAGTTTGGAGGCCAGTTTAGTGATGGCTTGAAAACCTGGCAAAAATTCGCTTGCCAAGGCCTTTAAAGCCGTCTGAGCTCTTCCGATTACGACATGAAAAAATGTCGGGGGAATTTTGGTGTTTTGGCGTTTCTAACCGTCAGAAATTGTAGTTTGTAGTCCAGCTAAGCGAATTCAGGGACAATATTGGCAAAATTATGGTTCGAATTGATTTTACAGACCCGTGAAGCCAAAATCCACCGCCGAGGAGAAGCCGAAGGCGTTCGGGTCGACCCTCGAGAAGATTGTGGCCGCGGGAAAACTGCCGGAAACCACCGGAACAAGCCCGCCAAAGGTACCCGTTTTTATGCAGATTTTGGCGAGCTAATTTTACAGTTAAAATTCCAGTTTTGCTCAAAAAATCAGAATTTTCCAAAAAATTACAATTTTTCGGCTCGTTTTGCATCTAAAAACGCTGTAAAATGCTACAAAAATGCTTTAGGAGACGACCCCCCGCTAAAAGGAAAGCTCCTAATTTCGTATTTTCAGGACAAATCGGCGGTGCGCAAATCGGCGTTGAACATGACCGTGGAAGAGGCTCAGAAAAAGGAACACGCTGCTGAGGTAGAAAAAAACTTTTTTATCGAATTTTCTAATTTAACTTAAAAAATTTTTTTACGTTTTTTAGGAAGCCGCGAAGCGGTCTGCCCGCCGCTACAACCTAGTGGGATCGCTGGCCGAGAAGTTCAGCGAGGCTGCCGAGATGCCACAGGAGAAACATACGTAAGGGCGATTGTAGCCTGTAGTCTGTAGTCTGTACTTATAGTTTGTAGTCTATAGTTTATCTGGCAGGCAGTGGAGCTGTCGAACCAGAAACCTACCCATTCCCTCCTTTATTTCTCTAGGTCTAGACAGATGGTATTTTCGTGGATTGTAGCTTGTAGACTGTAGTCTGTAGCTTGTAGTCTACGTATAGTTTGTCTTCTGTCTAACTGTCTGCCAGTTAGCCCATCTATCCAAAAATCTCCCCAGTCCCACCTCTATTTCTCTCGACCTAATGAGACGTGATTTTTGTAGTTTCTAGAAGTTTGTAGTCTGTAGTCCAGAACCTATAATTTGTAGTCTGTGATCTGTAGTCTTATCAGTCAGCCAGTTAACCCATAAATCCACAAACCTCCCCATTCCGTTCCCGATTTCTTCGATTACGACAAGAAAAAGATGTGCACAGAATTTTCGTAGCTTTTGGCAGGTTGTAGTCTGTAGCCTGTCGACTATATTTTACGGTATATAGTCTAATGTTTAATCTGGCTGCCAGTAAACCCCTGGGTCCATCAATTTCCCCCGTTTCATCATTGATTTCTCTAGGTGTGGAGAGATGAGATTTTTATCTTATAGCGGTTTGTAGTCTGTAGTCTGTAGCTTTTAGTGGATGTAAAATGCGTAGTTTGCAATCTTTCTGCCAGTTAACCCATATATCCACGAATCTCCCGATTCCCGCCTCTATTTCTCCAGATATCGCCGTTCGAAAGCGCTGCAAAGCCGCGATGAGACGCGTCCTCGAAGACATTATGCTCCGATAATACAACCAATTGTCGATGATTCTTTCGAAAAACAGGTAAGTCAACTAGCAAATATCTTTGGGGAATTTGCCCGGATTCCGCAAGAATCTCTGCTAGCTTTTTGGTCCGAAATTTTGACGTTTTTCAGATGGAGGAGCTGCGCGAAAAAATGAAAGCCGGCACGTCGGCATTCCAGAAGGAGTTCACCGAGCTGAAAAAGGTCAGAAAATCTTAGCGGGCTGTCAGCCAAGCTAGTTTTGTAGTTTGTAATCAACTATAATAATTTTCTTGACGCGTCCGTCTGTCCGTCTGTGTGAAGCCGAATTCAACTCGAAGGGGAAAGGAGCTAGAGCTTAGCTCTCTTCGGATTCGGATAGAGCGTGGTCAGAAACCCCCAAACTGATAAAAAAATTATGAAAAAGTTTTAGTTTAAATTATTAAAATTAATTTTGAAAGTTTTTTCCTTAGTAAAAGGGGTGGGGGACCGAGGTTGGGGTGATTTTGGACATAGTGAGCCAGGTCGCGCGCGTTTCGTGGATGAAAATTTTCAAGGGGATTTCATTTCTTTTTTTTCTCTCATTCCATCCGGTCGGTCGTTATTTTTTTCTTTTTAAGGGGATTTCGGCTAGGGGAGGTATCTTAAGCCATCGGGAAGGTATTTAGGTAGTTTTTGAAGGGGATTTCAGCCATGGGGGGTATCTGAAGCCATCAGGAAGGTATTTAGGTAGTTTTTGAAGGGGATTTCAGCCATGGGGGGTATCTGAAGCCATCAGGAAGGTATTTAGGTAGTTTTTGAAGGGGATTTCAGCCATGGGGGGTATCTGAAGCCATCAGGAAGGTATCGAAGTAGTTTTTGAAGGGGATTTCAGCCATGGGGGGTATCTGAAGCCATCAGGAAGGTATTTAGGTAGTTTTTGAAGGGGATTTCAGCCATGGGGGGTATCTGAAGCCATCAGGAAGGTATCGAAGTAGTTTTTGAAGGGGATTTCAGCCATGGGGGTATCTGAAGCCATCAGGAAGGTATTTAGGTAGTTTTTGACGGGGATTTCAGCCATGGGGGGTATCTGAAGCCATCAGGAAGGTATTTAGGTAGTTTTTGAAGGGGATTTCAGCCATGGGGGTATCTGAAGCCATCAGGAAGGTATTTAGGTAGTTTTTGAAGGGGATTTCAGCCATGGGGGGTATCTGAAGCCATCAGGAAGGTATTTAGGTAGTTTTTGAAGGGGATTTCAGCCATGGGGGGTATCTGAAGCCATCAGGAAGGTATTTAGGTAGTTTTTGAAGGGGATTTCAGCCATGGGGGGTATCTGAAGCCATCAGGAAGGTATTTAGGTAGTTTTTGAAGGGGATTTCAGCCATGGGGGGTATCTGAAGCCATCAGGAAGGTATTTAGGTAGTTTTTGAAGGGGATTTCAGCCATGGGGGGTATCTGAAGCCATCAGGAAGGTATTTAGGTAGTTTTTGAAGGGGATTTCAGCCATGGGGGTATCTGAAGCCATCAGGAAGGTATTTAGTTAGTTTTTGAAGGGGATTTCAGCCATGGGGGGTATCTGAAGCCATCAGGAAGGTATTTAGTTAGTTTTTGAAGGGGATTTCAGCCATGGGGGTATCTGAAGCCATCAGGAAGGTATTTAGGTAGTTTTTGAAGGGATTTCAGCCATGGGGGTATCTGAAGCCATCAGGAAGGTATTTAGTTAGTTTTTGAAGGGGATTTCAGCCATGGGGGGTATCTGAAGCCATCAGGAAGGTATTTAGGTAGTTTTTGAAGGGGATTTCAGCCATGGGGGGTATCTGAAGCCATCGGGAAGGGATTTAGGTAGTTTTTGAAGGGGATTTCAGCCATGGGGGGTATCTGAAGCCATCAGGAAGGTATTTAGGTAGTTTTTGAAGGGGATTTCAGCCATGGGGGGTATCTGAAGCCATCAGGAAGGTATTTAGGTAGTTTTTTGAAGGGGATTTCAGCCATGGGGGGTATCTGAAGCCATCAGGAAGGTATTTAGTTAGTTTTTGAAGGGGATTTCAGCCATGGGGGGTATCTGAAGCCATCAGGAAGGTATTTAGGTAGTTTTTGAAGGGGATTTCAGCCATGGGGGGTATCTGAAGCCATCGGGAAGGGATTTAGGTAGTTTTTGAAGGGGATTTCAGCCATGGGGGGTATCTGAAGCCATCAGGAAGGTATTTAGTTAGTTTTTGAAGGGGATTTCAGCCATGGGGGTATCTGAAGCCATCAGGAAGGTATTTAGGTAGTTTTTGAAGGGGATTTCAGCCATGGGGGGTATCTAAAGCCATCAGGAAGGTATCGAAGTAGTTTTTGAAGGGGATTGCATGAGGGGTAGCCCGAGGGCCAGATGGTTACAGTCGCGAAGCGACTGGAACCATCTGGTTCAGGATAAACCACATTTTATTTTTTGCGTAGTTTTTAGTCCAGGAAGCGGAAAAATAGGCAGTTTCGAAATTTCGTAGTTTGTGGTTTATCTGGAGTGACCAATTTGTAGTCTGTAGGTCAGTTTTTAGTGTCAGTACGATTTTTGTAGTTTGTGGTTACATTTTCGGAAATTCTGTACTTTGTAGCCTAACGAAAATCAGCGAATTTTCAGTTTGTAGCCCAGCCAAAATTGGCGGATTTATAGTTTGTAGTCCAGTTTGCAGTTTTGTATGGTTTTTGTAGTTTGTAGCGTCGTAGAATTTGTAGTTTGTAGCGGAAAAATTGTCCGGTTTGTAGTCTATATTTTTTTCGTAGATTTTTTGTACTTTGTAGCCCAGCTGAAAACCGATAAAATTCAGGGAATGCTGACCTGCGCCGAGGAGCCGAAACTTCGCGAACAAGAGGAAAAACATCGACAATTACTGCAACAGAATGCACACGCTATCGGGTAGGCTGACAGAGACAATTTGGGGAATCCTGAGGAATCCCTGCTAGCTGGCCCCTCCATGATTCTCCCAAAATTCGAGCAGCTCGATTGGGGCTCCTAAAAAGCACTGCTAGCATGGCGCCGATTTCCCCAAGAATCTCTGCTAGATAGCCCTCAGGTAGAAACTAGGCAGTGTAGCAGAGAGAGAGACAGAGAGACAGAGAGAGCGAGTGAGAGAGAAAGAGAGAGAGCTTGATCGATTTTTCAAGCCAGGCAAGCCAGCAGAGATCATTGGGGAGTTCCCAGCCAGCTAGCAGAGACTCTTTGGGAGTTTTTTTCAAATCAGGCATGCTGGCAGAGATTATTTAAGAATTTTACGCCAAAGGCTAACCAGCAGAGACCTTTGAGGAAGTGTTTAGGCTCTATTTTTGCTTTAGAAAAGCGGAAGAGGAGAAACGACGCCAGAAGGGATTGAGAGACGCCGTTTTGGAGAAGGAACTCGCCAAAATACCGGCGAAAGGCACGGGAAAAGAGGAGAGGGCTGAAAAGGCCGAGAAACCGCACAAACAATTGCCACCTGTATGTTTTTTGGGTATTTTAAGGGACGTAGCTTGGGAGCCAAAAATCCATCGAACGGTGCCTTGTGGGTCCCTTTAAAAGGGGCGTGGCTTGGAGAGAAACGATTTTTCAGGGATCTCCAAAAGCCGAGCCCCGCCGCACGATTCGAAGGCTGAAACAACAGGACAAAGACGAGCCAAAACCAGCTGAGGTAGGCTAGCAGAGATCATTTGCGGAATCGCATAAAAATTCCAAAACCCTTTTTGAATCGTTGAGATATTTTTGTTCTTTTTAAGCCCAAAAATCGTTCAAAATCAAGCAAATTTTTCAATAATTTTTAGGACCAAAAATCAAATTTTTAATTTTCTGATTTTTACTGGATTTATAAATTTAGAGTTTGCGTTTTCTATGACATTTAATACATTTTTTAGGCGTTGAAAAACCATCAAAAACTCTTTAAAAATCATGAAAAATGACCAAAATTCGCAAAAAAATTAGTTTCCCATTTTATGATTTTCAAAAATTTTTGTAGAAATTTTCAACTTTATTTAAACCAATAAAAATATTATAAAATAAACCCTTTTTAGCCGACCACTTCTGCCCCAAAATCCACCGAAGCCCCGCCCACCACCGGCTCTCTTGGTAGGTCCCGCCGCGATTTACCGTAACCCTCTAATTCTTGAAAACCTCGCATTATTTTCTGAATTTTTGGCGCAATTTTGGCAAACTGCCAGCCAGTCTACAGGTTGAAAATAGATTCGGCGGATCTACAGGGAATGCTGCCGTCAGGTAGCCGCTTGAAGTAATCCCTTTAGCCCATCCTAGCATGCCAATTACGTTTTACACCTATTTACAACCATTAGTTCTTTATTTTAACGCTTATGCCTTGGTTTTCTTTGTTCTGCCAGACAGTTTAGGCATTAATGGGGTTTCTGGGCTAAAAGCGACATTGGTTGTCGCGGCCGAGGATCGAACCCGAGCTCCCCTAACTAAACGTTATACACCTATTTACACCCTTTTCTGAGCACGCTTTCGATGTCAAAATGAGTTTACCTGGTGTTCTGTCAGCCAGTTTACTCATTGATGAGCCTTCCGAGCAAAAAGCAAAAGGCCCTACCGCGGTTGGGGGTCGAACCCGAGCACCTCGCAATGAACTTTATACACCTAATTACACTCTTTCTGATGCCTTTTTTGGCCTAGAAACGACTCTACCTAGTGCTCTGTCAGCCAGTTTACTCATTAATGGGCATTTGGAGCAAAAGCAAAAATACTGTCACGGCCGGGGGTCGAACCCATCCCCCGAAAAAAATTTAAGATTACGATTTTCTTTGTTTTATTTTATTTTTTTCTGTGCCTTAGTTCCGCTAATATAAACATTTTTCGCACTCCTTATTTCGCAATTTTAAAGGGCCGTTGAAGGCAAAAATCGATGATTTTCCAGGGCTCGCCAGCGGTACGTCAGCACCAATCAATGCCCCCGATGCCGCTACAAAAAGGAAATCCGCGCTGGACGCGCTCCGGGTACGGTAGAAAAAGGGGGCGGGATTCAAAGGGAATGGGAAGGCCCAGGAGAGGTTACTGTAAAAAGTCGAAATTTTGGAAAAAAATTCGAAATATCGAAATTCGCGGTGATTTCGCGTTTTTTTCACCAAAATGCCGCCTTTTTAAAAGGTTTTAGAAATACATGGAGAAGTTTTGCTAAACTCTTTATCACTATACATCAACAAAACAACTTTACAAATTTTGACGAAAAACACAAAAAGAAACGATTTTCCCCCCAAAAAGGGCCGTGGAAGGCGTTTTTGGCGTTATATTTTGCTATTGTTTTGAACAATTTTTGATTGCTAGAAAGTTATAAAAATATTTTTTAAAAAAACTATGTAAAACGCTAAAAAAAGTTTGCCCCCCCCGCTAACAGCCCAGAACCTTAAATTGATTTAATTTGAGAATCGTCGCTCCTCTGGGCTGGACATGCCATCGGATGCACGAGGAGGAGCACCACAAGGAGAAGGAGCAGTCGCCACAAGGATTAGAAATGTACGGCATAGATATCGCAGTACGACAGGCTCCAAATTACACGCGTTTTTCTTGGGAAAATACCGTAATTTGCCGGTTTTCAAAAGACTTTGAACAAATTTGAGCTGTTTTTACCGATTTTTCGGGTTTCTCAGAGAATCCCCGCTAGCTTGCCCTGTTTTTGAGTTACCATTAACTGAACTGGCAGCCAGTAAACCCATTTACTACAAATTTTCTCAAAAATAATCGCAAATTTTTCCCATATGCAAAGTAGAGGTCTTTTCCACCGTTTCCGGAATTCTCAAAGAATCCCCGCTAGCTGACCGCGTTTTTTGTTACCATCAGTTAAACTGGCAGCCAGTAAAGCCACCTAGAAAATCAAAATACTTAACACAGAACCAAAATTGCAAAAATACGGCCTCATTTTTTGAAATATTCAAATTAGGCGCCTTTTCCACTAGACCTCCCGAACCCCCCCTTTTACCCTCAAGGACCCCCATTTGACCCCCATGGCAACCCCCACCAAAACCCCCCAACAGACACCCCTGCCAACCCCCAATGAACCCCCACTCGAACCCCCCATTCCAACCCCCATTGGGCAAAATTCTTGCTGTGTGTAAGTTTATGGTTTTAAGTTTTAAGAACGTTTTAGCCTGTTTCAACTTTTTTTCAACCCTCTTTTCAACACCCCTGAAAACCCCCATTCAACACCCCGCCCAACCCCCACCCTACCCCCCTCGCAACCCCCCTATGACCCCCATCCAACCCCCACAAGTATGGGGGTAAATGGGGGGTTCGGGAGGTCTATTTTCCACCGTTTCGGCAATTCTCAAAGAATCTCCGCTAGCTAGCCCCGTTTTTCACCTGGCATTTGCTGAACTGGCAACCAGTAAAGCCATTTACAAAATCTTCGCGCAAAACTAATCGCAATTTTTTTAGAAATATGCAAATTCGAGGGCATTTTCGCGAAATACGGCAAATCTCAAAGAATCTCCGCTGGCTGGCCCTGTTTTTCTTGTGTCATTGTTTCAACTGGCAGCCAGTACACCCATTTACTAAAAATTTTTTCAAAAATAATCGCAATTTTCTTGAAATATTGAAATTCGACGTTTTTTCCGACGTTTCCGGAATCCTCAAAGAATCCCCGCTAGCTGGCCCCGTTTTCCTTTCGCCAATGTTCCAACTGGCAGCCAGTAGAGCCATTGACAAAATGTTATCTCAAGAATAAACCTAAAAATATTTTTAAATCCCCCAAGATTGCAGAGCGCGCCCCCGATGGATTTCTCGGATGTGTTTCACAGTCAGTCCCCCCAAACACCCCACTTTTTTCGTTCTTTCTCCCCAGTTTTCCCCATCGGATATTGCTCTCCATTTTACGTTTAAAAACCCCGCAAAATTTAAGTTTTAAAAATTATTTAATTTTTGTTAAAATTTAAAAATTTTGTAAAATAGAAACTTACAAAATTTTTTTAGGCGCTCGGCGGCGTTTCGAAGGGACGGTCGGGAGAGCCGCTGGCACCCAGTTTACAGGTTTTTACTAGTAATTTTGCAAAAAAAAAACAAAAAAATAATTTTTCGCCTAAAAAGCGAATTTTTTGGGGGCTTACGCGTTTATCGGATTACGCGATGAAATTGTAGGGAGCGGAGGGCGGAGGGGGTACGTGTTCATCTTCTGAGACCACGTCAACACCACGAAGGAGATATGGGCAGAGGAGAAGAACGGAAGAGATTATATTGCCGCCAAAGGACCCTATTCCAGTCAGTTTAAATTATACACCAAAAAAATGCCCTAAATTTACTAAAATTTTAAAAAATTAAAACATAATTATAGTAATTTATCATAATATAATTAAACAACACGCAACGCGCGCGTTTCATCGTCATTACACGCCGTAATCGGTTGCGCAATTGAATGTTGTAAGTTCGGCCTGGTTTTCCGTTCGATTTGCCGCGCCGCAATACGCAACGCGCACGCCGCGCCTCGCTATCATAAACCTGTCGTAATCGATTACGCCATGGAACGCTGGGCGTGTCAAGCACCTCGAAAATGCTTTAGAAAGCGATACACCCAAAATCCAAAATCATGCCTTGCCCGTCCCTTTAAAGGCATCCGCAACGCGAGTTTGATGTCGTAATCGCTCGTGAAATCCGTTTTTTTTGCAGAAAAAGCGTCGCCGCCAACAGTCACGGCCAAATCGACTGATTCGAACGCCCGGTGATATCGATGTGATATTGGGATATGGTGGAGGGATGACATTTGAGGTGAGAGAGAGACAGAGAGAGCGAGAGAGAGAGAGCTAGAGAGAGAGAGAGAGAGAGTGAAAGAAGGAGAGAGAGAGAGAGAAGATAGAGAGAGAGTAGAGAGAGAGAGTGAAAGAAGGAGGAGAGAGAGAGAGAGAGAGAGAGAGAGAGAGAGATAGAGAGAGATAGAGAGAAACATATTAAACATCGGTTCTTTAACATTATTGGGGGGGACCAACCTTTGTTCTATGGATCTAGTTTTTTAAATGAAGTAGAGGAAGTATTTCCAAGCTGGTTTTGCTTTTCCTAAACTCAAAAGTAGACCAATTTTTAATAAAAAATAAAATAAAAATTTTCCCACATTTTTGGATGGTTTTCCGACTTGAAATGGAGTTAAATTTCGCTAGAAAATACTATTAAAATACGCGCAATTAAGTTACCAGTGATAGAAAAAACTGCTAGCCCCCCGATAATGCAAAAGAACCCTACGAATGAAATTGAGGCGCTCGAGCGGCTGTTCGATGAAGCCGCGAAGGAGAAGCGAATGCGACGAGACACTCCACCCCCAAAAGACCTCGCCGGAAAGCCGGCCACCCGCGTCTGGATCAGCGCATTAATGGTAGGAATATGAAATTGGAAATTGTTGATTTTCGAAATCTAATTCACCTAAAAAAATTATTTATTAACCATTTTTTAATCCTACTATATATAAAAAATAGTGTCTGTGTGTGTGTGTGTGTGCCACTTTGCATCCACTTCCGTGTGTCTGTCCGAAGGATATCTCGGTAGGGGATGAATTTTAAGATATGTATGATACGTCATTAGGTGCGTAATGGCCTGGAGATGACTGCACGCTTATGAGATTTAACAAAATCGCCTATTTTCGACATTAAATGAAGTTTTTCTGAAAACTTCTTTGTTAGGAATAATTAGCATTGACCGGAAGTTGGGATTCAACTATAAAAATGGACATCAGAGATTGTTTTTCATTTTTTTTGTCATCCGAATTGAGGACAATTATGCAAAGCGAAGGACAAAATGGGGTCAGACGGGGCCAGGGTTGAAAAGCCGCGAAGCGTCTTTTCAACCCTGGTTTAAACTAAATTTTAAATTCAAAATTAAATTTTCTTAAAATTTAAAAATTTTAATCATAATTTAAAAATCTTCTATAGGTTTAATTTTAAAAAAACCTGAATTACTTATCTATTTTTCTCTCTAGGACATTGACAAAATCTACAAGGCAATCGAGCTGCGAGATATTGCCGCTTCCGTCAATGGATGACACAATCAAAAAGCGAATTCTTAAATTGTTTTTTTCTGCCGTAATTTAATGATTTTATTAATTCTTAATAGTTTATTAATATTATTAATTATTTTATTACAGATGATTATTTTATATAATATTATTATATTAATATTATTATTTTTTATTATTTTTTAATAATTTTATTCTTTTATCGTATACATCGTATATCAATAAAAAGCAATCATACGGGCATCAAACGAAATGGCTCCAAAAAACTGGGGAACACTGTGGAAAAAAAGGACTTGGTGCTGGACTGTTAGCGGGGGGGACCAATTTATCCCAGTAGTCCTGTACGGTCCTATAAGAAAATATAAACTATTTTTATGGCCTTTTTCACCCGATTTCAGATCTAAAAAGCTCTTAAAAATGACAGCTTTTCGACAATTTTGGCTTTTTCGACGTTTTTTGGTCGTTCGGAGGTATGAAAAATGGACAAAAAACTCGGAAGTTCTGGATTTTCAAAAATATCTAGAATATTTTCAGCAATGAAAAACCACGATAAACATTGTAAAATCCTTGTTTATTGAAACCCGCAATTTTATAGGCCATTTCCAAGATTTTCCGGGTTTTACGGTCTAATTTGCCCAAATTTCCCCCAGTAAAATACAGGAAAAACAATGAAAAATGGAAAATGGCGCGTTTAGAAAAAAAAGCGGGCTGGAAGGCGCTCGTAAAATCGCCGTATCAAAGGCTTTCTCGACTTCTCCGTCTAAGCAGGTGACCGTAACCCTAATCAGCAAAAACCATCATTTGGAAACTTGGAAAATGTCTAATTTTGCGGAAAATCGGGTTTTTTCGAGATTTGTAAAGAGCAATCGCCCAAAATAGCGATTTCAAAACTACCATAACCCAAATAATGCAAAAACCGTAATTTGGGAACTACCGGAACCCCGGAAAATGCCGGCTTTTTTGCGGAAAACCGGGATTTTAAAGGAAACGCGGCAAAAATACTGCAAATTGTCGAAAATCGGGCTTTCCCGGGGGGCGGACTACAAACCACAAAATGCCGAAATCGGGATTTCCTCAAAAATCGGGGTTTTTCGCTTTTTTTATTCGGATTCCTTGATTCCAAAAACTGAAAATATCCTTACGCCCGGCATTAACATCGCCACTATCCATTTCGCCCATAAAAATGCCCATTTTCGCCGCGACGATCGTCTTCTTCTTCGGCTTCATGCCTGAAAACAGGGGCGGCGAAGTAGCAGGGTTCGATCACTAACCGCGTATCCAAAACGAAGCACATTGAGGTCCAGGCCCACATCCGCTGCGCTGTCTTGCCACACACACCGCCATGCTGCTCTCCGAAATACAAACAAAGGGTTCTTTCGCATTATCGGGGGGCACCTTTTCCTTTAACTCCAGAAATGCCTAGTAACGCAATAACAAACTCGTTGTCCTAATAATCTTTTTAGTAAAATTTAACAAGTTTAATTTAAGTGAAACGCGATCAAAAAAACTTAGAAAACATTCTAGGTGAGATTTTGGTCCAAAATCGGTAATTTTTGGTTGAAAAATCGATATTTTGATGTTTTTAAGCACAATTTGTAAAATTTTTGTATGTTTAGCGATAGTAAAAACAGTTTAATTTCCTTTGCTTCTCTTGGAAAAATGGGACGCTTATAAAAAAGTTGCCCCCGCCTCTGATAATGCGAGATAACCCAAAGTGAAACTCGACCGTTTCGTTGCGCTATGGCTGCACCACGTTTCGAATCGCCCGTCTCTGTTGAATCACGCGTAACTGAAATTGATTTTTCGTGAAATCGGAAGCACCAAATGGAGAACGAGGCGAATATGCAAAAAGAAAACACAGAATTAATGTAACAGGCCCGGGGGGTTCGAATTTTCAATAAATCCTCGGTTTTTCGCGTTATCGGGGGGCTACCTTTTTCTATTTTTCCTTTTTCCCTTCCTGTAAGTCGAGAATTGCCTAGTACCATAATAGTAGGTATTCTAACAGTGTTTCTGGTAAACTAACAATATTTTAACCGGGCAACCAAGAAAAACAATTTAGAAAAAATTTTTAAGTGAAATTTTGAGCGAAAAATCTATATTATTGTTTCTCTCCGCTATTTATATTGAAAATATCGGTTGCTTAACAGAAAAGCTCCCCCCCGATAATGCGAAAGAACGCGTTCGCGAATTCACATGTATCAACGCAGAACAAAGCGAATAGGCAGCAAAACAAACACAGAATTAATTTCAAAAAGAGCGGATTTGAGCATTCCTAGGAGATGGAGATCTGAAGGGACCATGTGGCAAAGGTGATTTGAATGGGCGGAGGCACAGGACCATCATTATTACCGTAGATACCGGGACCCGTGGGACGCAACGGGTAGTCAGGGCCAATCATATTCTCACGAAACTGGGTCTCCGTCACCGGGCGCGCGTACAAAATAAATAGCAGGAATTTGGGGCGCAGTCCATTGTTGTACTGATCGAGCAGCTGCCTGAACACATCCCAATAACGCGCCGGCAACGGTTCGTAAGATTCCGGCGTCAGCAGACAAAAGCCCAAGATCCGGAATTGGAATTCGGGTAGAAGGTCGATGAATTCCATGCCGATGTGTCCCAGAAACATCCCCTCGACAGTAGAAAGGACTTCACACAATCTGGGGGTGATTGTGCTTGTCTCATCCGGCGTGTAGAGGACCCATTTCGGCTTCAGCTTCTCGATAACGTCAGCCGCCTTGTCGTCTCGATCCTGGCCACGAAACGAGAGAGTAGCCACTTTCAGCCCGTCCAGACGAATTACACGCGCATCCAGGTGGAAGCACAGCTGCTGAACGTAGGCGTCGCGAAGAAGCATCTCCAGTACTTCGGGTGTCTGGGCGAAGATCGGGGAATCGGGCTGGATGGCGGCCACACAATGCACATCGTCGAATGTCTTCTTCTGCAGATGTTTTGTGGCGTAGAGGAGCTTCTGATGGGATCCGGCGACGGCGATCAGTGTCGGTCCATCGAGAGCTTCCAGGATCTCCAACATCAGCACCGACGGAAGATCGTAGATGTTGAGCGACGATTTGTAGACCTCCTTCTCTCCATCGTCGTCTTCGCGCGCCAGAGCGCGCATTTCGTCGTCAAATTCCTCCAGATCCATTGTTCGCTGCCCGGCCACTTTACCTGAAAAAGAAAAATTGATTTGATGCATTCACTCAACGCCGAAAATCGGAATGGAAAACAAAATATAGGAGAAAAAGGGATAATGAAGCAAATCCAAGACGCGCGTTCCGGTCGAAAATCAGTTCAATCAATTCTTCAAAGAATTCAGCCGTTTCAAAAACAAAATGAACCCTAGATTTTGTCTTTATGGGGGGCGTTAGGTGAGGCAGGTTCTTACGCATTAGCGGGGGAGCTACTTTTTTTGCTAAGGATCAAATTTTTCAAACATGAATAGAAGCGGTGTTTATAAACGGTTTTTTACGATTTCTAAACCTAAAAATGTACAGGTTTGTTTAAAAACTATAAAACATCCATTTTTCGACCAAAAATACCCGATTTTCAACCAATTTTTCTTGTTTTCTACAAATATAATTAGGTTTTGCTAAAAACACTATTAAACAACTTATTCTTACGCTTCTAAGCATAAGAACCAGCTGGAAGCGTTTGTTTTTATTCGTGGCTTTAGCGTCGTGAAATCTTTCGTTTTCTTGTCGATCGGCTGATGAGGCGAGCGGCGAGTTTTCTAAAAAGAACGACGGCGAAGTATCAGGGTTCGATCACTAACCGCGTCTCCTCGATGAAGTTCTTCATGTAGTCGTCGAGATGTTGCACCGGGTGTGGCTAGCTGCTCTCCTAAATACAAATCAAGCAGAAAAACTCAAATATAACCTGACCATTTCCGACATGTTGTTCTTCTACTGGTCCCGCAGTTAGATTGCCTCATTTCGCGCGTCCATGACAGATCGGCAACGACGTTTGAGCAGCAATGGGTTCTTATCTTTTTAACGGCTATGTCATTTTCCGTCTAGCAAAAACAAAAAATAGTTAAAAACGGTTCAAACCCAATTTTTTTAACTTGTTTTTGGTCGTCTTTCTTACTTTTCCGGCCAAATGTGAAAAAAAAATTCGAAAATTTTGCGTAATCTAAGAACCTTTTATTCAGAAAACTGTTTAAAATGCTATAAAAATGGTTTAGATGGCTATAAAATCATATAAATTAGCTTCCCCGTGTGAAACGGAAAGAACCGGTTGTTGCTCAAACGTCGTTGCTCCTCTGTCATGCTCATGCTCCCCCATTTCACAGGTCGATATCTTCATTACCGCCCGGCGACCTGAAATTTATTTTTGGTGAAAACGATGGAAAATGAAGAATAGAATGGAAACAGGAGAACGCAAAAAATATTGCAAAAGGGTTTCGAAAAGGAGAAGCGCATAAAAATGGAGCTTTTGCATTATCGGGGGGGGGGGACCTTGCTATAGAAATGACAAATTATCGAATATTCAGAGCGTGGGGACTGATGTGCAATTTGAGATCTCTGACATGTTCCCATTTATAAGTGAACCACGATCGGCGGCCATCAAATTGTAACGGATAGTCGAGGCCGAAGAGATTGTCGTGTAGATCATCATCCGGCAACGGGGATTCGAAACGAATTTGCAGCCAAAATCGCTGCCTTTCCCCCTTTTTGTATTGGTCGAGCAGAGTCTTGATCACGTCAAAAAAGTGCTCGGGTATCGGCCCCTTTCTCAACTCGCATCTCAACGTCAGAAATCGCCATTCCACGATGTAGTCGACCAGTTCCATTCCAATCTCTCGAATCCATATTTGTGGAATACTCGAAAGAGCACGGCTCATCCTCGTCGACATTTCCGCCTTTTCATAGCAATACAGGGCAATTTCCTTTGGTCGCAACTTCTCGGTGATGATGGCCGCTTTGTCGGAGGATTTGTCATCATTCCCCTGCAGACTCAGGGACGTTACGCTCAGCCCTTCAATGTCAATCGGCTGCTGCTCATCTAGATTGAATTGTAGC